AGAATTGCGATATGATCCACTCATTCTACTCCTAGGTATACACTCAAAGGAACTGAAAGCAGGGACTCAAGCAGATACTTGTCCACCTATGTTCACAGCAGAAGTGTTCACGACAGCCAAAAGGTGAAAACAACCCAAATGTCCATCATGGATGACTGGATAAACAAGTTGTGGTCCATCCATACAGTGGAATATTAGCCTTAAAAAGGAAGGAAATTCTGACAGCTGCTACCACATGGATGAATCATGAGGACATTATGCTCAGTGAATAAGCCAGACACAGAAGGGTAAATATATATGATCCCACTCGTATGAGGGCCCCAGAGTTGTCAAATTCATAGACAGAAAATAGAAGGGAGGGTGCCAGGGGTTGGGGGAGGGGGATTGGGAGTTAGTTTCATGGGGACAGAGTATTTGTTTGAGATGATAAAAAAGTCATAGAGATGGATGGTGGTGATGGTCGTACAACACCGTGAATATGCCTAACACCACTTGACATATACTTAAAAATGGTTAAAATAGTAAATTTTATGTTATGTACATTTTACTACAAAACAATCGTCCCTTATGGTTTCCCTGCTTTAAATGCTCCAACACACCCCACGTCCCCAAATTCGGAGTAGACCCAAGCCCCTCTCCTCATCTGACCTTGGCCCTCCCAAGCCCTCTCTTCTCCCTGGGCCCCTTCCCAGCTGCACCAGGGGCCTACAGACCCTCCAATGGGCCATGTCCATCCCTGCCCCGGGGTCTTTGCACCTGTTGTCCCCTCTCTGGTGGAGCTGTTCCCCTAGTTTGCAGAAGCCTCCCCTTCCTTCCTCTCAGCTGTCGCCCCATCCCTCACAGAGCCATCCTCTCTCTTGCTTCCTTCCTTGCTGCCCTAACCCATCACGTGCATTGTAAGCTCCAGAGGGGCAGGAACTTCGTTCTCCTTGTCCATGTAGATCCCCACTGCCCTGGCAGTACCACCTGGGGCTCATCAGAATTTCCTGGAAGGAAGAAAGGAAGGAGGGAGGGAGGGTGGGAGGGAGAGAAAGAGGAAGAGAGGGAGGGAGGGGAAAAAGAGAAGGAAAGGGATCTGTGTGAAGACCAGGAAAAAGGAGACCTGGTGGGGTTCTTCACACGTGGCGGGGCATCCTGGGGGAGAGGATCCACGTTCCTGTGCCCCGGGAGTGGGGTTGGGGGAATGGGCACCACCCTCCCCACAGTGGGCACAGCTTCAGGGACTGGGTGCCAGGTGGAACATGACCTGCCCATCCCCCCCACAGCTCACTGCTCCCTGGGAGACGCGGCCCCCCAGTGGGGCTGTCACGGCCACCTCACTGCACCTCGCATGCCCGACACAGGGTGGAGAGCTCAGTCAGGTCTGTCGACGGACAAGCAGAGGGTCTGGGGGGCCGTGATGGTCCAATGCATCCTCCACCTGTTTCTTCTGGAGCAAGCTGGCCCCCGAGTCTCATTGGAAAGGCCCTGAGTGTGTTGGGGGCAGGGATGAGGCCCTGCCATCCCAAAGCCCAGGAGAGAGGGGCTTGTCACCCACACGTGGGGCCTGGGTGCTTCCCCACCAGATTACCCTCCCTGCCTAGTCATACCACTGGGCTGCTCAGCTCATGGGGAGTGTGAGCCCCTCGGGGCATAGACCAGGGCTGCTAGGAACCCCATGGTTCCCACCTATCGTGGCCACACAGCCTTCTAGGGAGCAGGAAGCAGCAGGGGTAGAAGGCCCCATCTCCAGGACAGCCCAGGGTCCCCATCTTCCTGGACCCTCCACGGTGCCAGAGGTGGAGCTGGGCAAACAGCCAGCACTCAATAAATGCCTGAGGCGTGATGCATGCCAGGACCCTTGTCCTCAAATCTGCGCTGCTGTGGTGGGAGACGGGGGAGGCACGAGCTGAGAAGAGGCCCTGGTCTTGCTGGGTGATCCCCAGCACCTTCCAAGCCCTTCCAAGTCCACCAGGGTGGTGGGCTGGGCTGGGGCAGTCTGCCTCTGTGGTGAGGGGTCTTTGTCCACGGGTGGGATCACGTCTACGTCTGAGTTGTGTGGTCACGGGTCTGTCCACAGGTGGGATCATGTCCACCTCTGGGCTATGAGTGGTCAGGGGTCTTTGGCCACAGGTGGGATCATGTCCACCTCTGGGCTATGAGTGGACAGGGGTCTTTGTCCACGGGTGGGATCATGTCAACCTCTGGGCTGTGTGGTCAGGGGTTTTTGTCCACAGGTGGCATCGTGTCCACATCTGGGCTATGAGTGGTCAGGGGTCTTTGTCCATGGGTGGGATAATGTCCACCTCTGGGCTGTGTGGTCAGGGGTCTTTGTCCACGGGTGGGATCATGTCCACCTCTGAGCCGTGTAGTCATGGGTCTTTGTGCACGGGTGGGATCATGTCCACCTATGAGCTGTGTGGTTAGGGATTCTTGTCCACGGGTGGGATCATGTCCACCTCTGAGCTATGTGGTCAGGGGTCTTTGTCCATGGGTGGGATCATGTCCACCTCTGAGCTGTGTAGTCAGGGGTCTTTGTGCACGGGTGGGATTGTATCCACCTACGAGCTGTGTGGTCAGGGATCCTTGTCCACGGGTGTGATCATGTCCACCTCTGGGCTGTGTGGTCAGAGGTCTTTGTCTGTGGGTGGGATCACGTCCACCTCTGGGCTCTGCGTGGCGCAGTGCCATCCTCTGTCCTGGCCGCCCTCTGGACTACATGGGCTGAAAGAGGGACAGGGCGTGCCCATGTGGGGCAGATTCCTGGCACCGTCCCTGACAGAGCCCTCCCCGAGCTCCAGGAGGCCGCTGGCCCCAGTCCTCCTTCCCGGCAGCGGCTCCCTCCTTTATCCTCTGTTCTCGGCTCCCTCAAGTGTGAAGAGGTAAAGACGCTGAGCAAACAGGCTGGGCTCCCAGCCGCATCCGGGATGTCCCAATAGCTGGGACCCTGACGGCCCCACCGCCATCGCTGCCCGAGGATGTGCTCATGGGAGGGATCAGGGCAGCCTCTGCCCCGTGGCACTGCCGGGTCCTCTCCTCACTCATTCTGTGCATTTACTGAGTGCCTGCTGTGTGCAGCTGTGCACAGATGGGAGAAGCCCCTGCCCGCAGGGAGCTCTCCTTCAGGGTGGGGGTGGCGAGGGACGGGTGATGCCCTGAAGAGATAACGTACATTTGAGCCCTGAGACCAAGGCGCCCAGGGCTACTTGCGTGTGTGGAAGGTGAGGGCTGCCCCGAATGGGGCTGGTGGGTCCCTCTGAGGGCTTCGGGGTGCTGCCTGTGTCAGGCCACCAAAGCCACAGCTGGGGGTCCAAAGATCCCCCTGCTTCCTTCCTCTGGTGGAGGAGCCAATGGTCCAGGCAGCGTGCACTCCCCACCCACAGGAGGGACTAGGTGCCATGGCATTATCGAGCACCGGCTGTTTGCCCAGCCTGTGCCTGGAACACGGGCAGGAAGGCCAAGGAGGACAGGATCTGTCTGGGGCCCAGGCACAGCCACAGCTCAAGAGCACAGGAGGGCCGGGCAAGGTCTTGAGCCCACCCACCAGGCCTGTCCTTCAAGGTCCCCTGGCCCAGACCTCCCTCGGAGGCCCCTCCAGTCGTGCCCTTCTGCAGTGGGGACAATGGGGCTGGATATTGGGACCCCGAAGACCCCAGCCCCTTGGAAATGACAGTGACGATGAGGGGGGGAGCTGGCGGGTGGCCTGAGGTCCCCGGGGTCCCGGAAGTGCGCAGGGAGCAGTTCCACGACTGAGATCCCCGTGCCTCCTGCCTCAGCCCAGGGCCCAGGTTTGCAGTGCTGCGGACACAGCAGGCGTCCGGGCGCCAGGGAACGTGGGCCACCTCCAGTGCAGGGGCACCCTGCTCCTAAGACACCGGGACCCAAAGTGAAGAGCATGTCCGGGCCTCCTGCAGGCCTCCGAACACGTGCGGCCTGTGCAGCCGGCGGCCATGCTGAGGGGTGACAGTTGGCAAAACGCGGCAAAGCTTTTAAGAAGGGTTTTCCCTTTACCCCAGAAATTCCACATCTGCAAATTCATCCTCAGAAAGACGCAGGAGGAATACCAGGTGCTCCCCCAACCTGGAACCTGCCCGCGCCCGGGTTGGGAGGGGGGCTGGTTACAGCCATGGGACCCTGCGTGTCTCCCCGGCCATCCTGCGGGCTGTTCTCAGACACGCTCAGGAGTTGGGGAAGGATGCCAGCATCCCAGCGCACCACGGGAGGGGAAAGAAGACAGGCTGATGGTGGCCTCAGGGCCTCCGTCTCCCCTTGAACTTGAACTTGGTGACAGAGAGGAGCCCAGAGACCTGCAGGGGGCACTGCTCAGCACAGCTGGGGTCTCTGGGCACGGAGCCTCCTCCCAGGACCCTCATAAGCACCGCAGACAGGCGCCCCGCCCTCCTCACATGGCCATACGCTCCCCTAGCTGAGCAGGAGCCCCAGGGCCCCTGCTTGCCAGGACGAGCGATGATCTCACAGCCTCACGGCCCCCTCCCCACTCCTCGGGGACAGTGAGCACCTCGGGCCAGCTCCCCCAGGAGCGGTCGGCCCCTCCCCTTCAATCCCACCTCTCGGCCTGGTCAGGCTGCCCAGAGGAGCGCGACGCAGGGCCTGCTGACCACCCTCCCTCTTCAGTGAGCGGGGCTGCAGCCAGGCAGGACCCCGGGCGGTCCGAGGCGGCCCTGCTTTGTAGGGAATTTGCCATCTACAATGGGCCGCCAGCACCACCTTCCTGGCCCAGGCGGATGGCCTGTCCCCCCTCCCTTCTGATTCTCAGAAGCTTCTGGGGGCGGGGGTCCTGCGTCTCCGGGGCCCAGAGCCACAGATTCTTCCTCCTACAGGCCTCTTGCCTGCCACGGCCCCTCCCCAAGAGCAAACACACGTGGCTGGCGCGGGGGAGAGGACGGCGCCCTGCGCAGCCCAGGAGCTGGGCGCCGGGCCAGGGCTTCCTGCTACTTAAGCCCCAGGGCCCCCAGGGGAGCGAGCACCTTGCCTGACTCCCTCCTCGCCTCCCGCCCACCATGCCAGCCCCCGGGATGGGCGCCCCAGCAGGGTGCCGGGCGCTGGCGTGGGCCCTCGCGGCCCTGCTCTTGGTGCAGAAGGCAGGTAAGGCCGACCCCCCGGCTCCACCTTCAAGGGGTGGACGGCTTCTGCAGGCCACGCGCCTGGGGGTTTCTCCCGCTGAGAATGGACAGTGTGTCCTTGACAGGCCCTGCACAGCAGGGACACCCAGCCGCCGGGGCTCTCAGCCTTCGTCAGGAGAAGTTGTGTGCCCGAGGGAAACCACTCGGAGATGGGATGGGGGTGGGCGCTGGGTGAGGAAGCCGAGGCTGGGGGTCTCTCTGGTCCCCATGAGGTCCCCATATCAGAGGCAGGGACAGCACCCAGTATGGATCCCTGTCCACAGGGGCTGCACTTTCTCCACTCTGCCCTTCGAGAATGGCCTGGGGTACGAGGGCAGCCCCCACGGTGGCTCTGAAATACCTCCTGGAAATAGGGCTGCCATGGAGCCAACAGGTGCAGTGCCCACCTGGCAGCAGGGGAGCCACCCCTGAGCCCACTGTGGCACCTCGCGCCACGCCCACCGTGCGGCCTTTTCAGCGGCCTGTACCTGTTGGTTTTGTCTGTTGTCCCTCGGGCCCCAAGGCTCTTAGCATCGCAGGGAAGCGCCAGGAGCCCTAATACTTACTGTCAACACAAAAGATGCGGCCCCAGGGGCTGCCTGGGCAACACCCAGCAGGGCTGGCCTGGAGCTCTGGCCACCAGAGCCTGCCCTGCCCGTCCCCAGCCGCACTCTGCTCCTGCTCCCCACGGAGCCTCACCCTGAGCCCGAGGCTCTCTCCATCTGAGCACAGGAGGCGGTGAAGGGGAGAGGACCGTCTCCCAGAGCACGGGGAGACGTGTGAAGTCACATGAGTCCCCTTTCTTGGGGGGCAAAGGTGGTCCCTACAGCAACTCCCAGAAGGGGTCCTGGGACGCTGCCCAGTGCAGCGACCCCCAGCCTGCAGAGTGGTTTAGGACGCCAGTTCGCCAGTTTGCACAGCCGTGTCCCCGCTCAGCCGGGCTCTTTCGGGCCAGGCTGGCCTCAGCTCCGCACACCTGAGCAGTGGGCCTGCCTGTGAGCCTACCTCATCCTGCACTTGCTTCCCTCTTGTTGGGGACAAATCCCTCGGATGGGGGCGCATCTTGTCATGAGACACTGGTATCCCCAAGCCAGAGGCCCTCTCAGGGGTGGGTAAGGGTGGGCCCTGAGTGGGGGAGCTTCATGTCAGGGGGGATGTGCACCCGACCACGGCGTGATGGGGTGGTCGGCGGCGGGCATTTCTCTGGCCAAGTGATGGAGACCCAGATTCACTGGGCCTGTCACCCGCCCAAGGAGGGCCCTGTGTTTAACCAATTTGTGTGGAAATGGCCCTGATGGAGAGGAGGGATGCCGTGTACCCTGCATCTGTGTGGAACCCTCTGGTTTCTTCACGGTGGTGTGGGGCCAGGGGCTGGCAGCAGCTGGCCCCGGCCAGGCACAGGTGGGAGGGGCTGTGGGTCTGGGGTCAGGGGTGGTGAGACGGAGCGGCTATGCTCCTGGGAAACGCAGTCAGCCGGGGCCCCTGAGAGGAGAGAGAGGTGCCGCGCCAGGACCTGCGGTTTCCACGCATCGGCGTTCCCACCGGGAAAGTGGAACAGGATGCAGAGCAGCCCAGCACCCCTCGCTGAGCGCCGGCCCCACCAGGGACATCAGGACACGGCCCCACCTCCCACTCCCCATGAAGCACAGGCTTGGGCTGAGCATGGAGACTCCCGGCAGACGCAAGGAAGGAATTCCAGGGCCGCGTAAAGGGGGTGCCCCTGCCCCAGCCCAGCAGAGAGGGGTCTGAGGGGTCAGCCTTGTCCACTGAGGCAGTGAGAGGTCGTGGGGGCCTGGCCACTGGAGGGGAGCACCTGGCTTGGCCCCAGTCAGGCTGGCGGATGAGGCCCTGCCTAGAGGTGGTGGACACACAGGTGACCTGTGGCAGCCGTCCCAGCACTAGGTCCCCAGGCCTCCCACTTGCCATGATTGATGGTTCTAACGCGGAGCTGGCGCTGGTCTTGGGTTTCTCCTAAGTCACACCTGGAAGCCTCCCCGAGTGCGTGTGCCCCTCTCCCCAACAAAGCTGGTCTTTGTCCTTCTCTGAGGGACGCACGGGATGGGGCCAAACCCTCTCTCTGGGGTGGCCGGGGTCATGGGCGCCAACGCCTTTTCCTGATTCCATTCTCCTGCCCTGAGCCAGCTTCCCTGTCACAGGGCGATGAGGCCCCACCCTGAATTCATGGACAGGGAGGGTGGGGGTCAGCGCAGGGCCACTGAACAGCTGCAGCTCTCTGCCAGAACCTTCCATCCCGGCGGAGGCCTTGCTCTCTCTCACACTGGGTGATGGGGAGGCCTGAGCCATCACGTGGCCGCCATCCTGCAGCCCACGGAGACCCGCCGCCAGTGCCCCGAATAGGCCGCCGAAGGAGGGGTGGCTGACTGTCTGCTTCTCACCGACTCCCGTCCCCTCTTCCCGCAGAGACCCAGGGCAACACGGAGCTGAGCTGGGCGAGCGCAGAGGCTGCCGCGGACGGTCAGAGGGAGGCTGTTGGTACGCGGCCCAGGCTCCTGGAGCAAGTGAAAGGGGCTCCGGGCGGCCGGAGGGGGCCAGAGCCCTCTCCACATCACCCACATGTCACACAGAGACCCTCCCCATCCCATCTGCCCAAGGAGGTGGCAAGGAGGGGCCAAAAACCACTGAGGTGCAGAGCAGAGAGGCTCACACGCTCACACACACTCACACGAGTGCACACACATGTTCTCACACACGTGTATGCACATGTTCATATTCACATGCATGTGCACACATACTCATGCTCACAGAGTGGTCGGGCACACATTCACACTCTTGTGTGCACACTCATGTGTGCACACACACGCATACCCACTAATGTGTCCAGATTCACACACTCACATGTACACTCACTCCCACACACTCATACATGCACACACATCCACACACTCAAACGTTCGCACACTCACACTTGCATGCATGTGGGCACACCCACACACTCACATTCACACACTCACACATGTACACTCACATCCACACACTCATATGTGCACACACGTCCACACACTCACACAGTCACATACATCTCACACACTCATTCACACACGTGTACACACTCACACTTGCAGGCATGTGGGCACACCCACAAGCTCACACTCACACTCTCACACACGTGTGCATACACACACCCACAGGGCAACGACCACATGGAAAAACTCAGGGCAGGAGCACGTCTCAGGCAGACAGGAGGGTCCAGCAGGGGACACCTTAGTCCTGGGGCTCCCTGGGCTGGGTCAGTCCTGGCCTGTGGCTCCCTGCTGCCCCAGGGTGGCCAGAGAGGAGGGTAGGGGTCCCAGGAAGGGGTGTCCCCAGCCAGTCCCTGCCTGGCTGAGTTCCCGGAGTGACCTGGTTTTCTCTGCAGCCCAGCACATGATCTTCATCCCACCCATCACTGTCTTCCCCACCATGAGCCGTAAGTGGACACCACCCATTGCTAACGGGGGCGGGGGTGTTTGCCAGGGGGTCACAGATCTGGATTAAAGCTGGCACAGTGTGGGGCAGCCGGCAGCTGGGTGGCCGTCCCTGTGGACAGTTCTCCTGGGACTGACTCTGGGGTGCTGGGCAGGCCGTCACGGGTCTTGGAGAGAAGCAGAGGAGCTGAGGGGAGGAGGCAGGTATGTCGGATAGAGGCGGCTGCCCTTCTGGCTCCCCTTTCCCAAATTGGGCACCTTGTCCTGGGGAAGGCGCCTGTGGGCAGCTGGGCATGGGCAGTGGCGTCTGGCGGGGGCCCCACCATGTGCTCCCCACAGCCGCGAACCCGGCGCACAACGGGCGGGTGTGTAGCACCTGGGGCGACTTCCACTACAAGACCTTCGATGGCGACATTTTCCGCTTCCCCGGCCTCTGTAACTACGTCTTCTCCGCACACTGCGGCGCCGCCTACGAGGACTTCAACATCCAGCTCCGCCGCAGCCTGGCCAGCTCCAGGCCCACTATCACCCACGTCGTCCTCAAGACCCAGGGGCTGGTGGTGGAGATCTCCAATGGCTCTGTCCTCATCAACGGGCAGCGGTGAGCCCGGGGCTGGGAGGAGCCAGGACTCCGGGGTGGGCTTGGGGCTCAGAGCCGGAGGGGGGGGCACTGGACGCCGTCCCACACCCCGGCCGTGGGAGGACCAGAACTTTCCGCCCCAGGGAGGACCTACCCTACAGCCGTGCTGGACTTGTGGTGGAGCAGACCAGCGTCTACGTCAAAGTCAACGTCCGGCTGGCGCTGACCTTCACGTGGAACGGGGAGGACAGCGCTCTGGTGAGGATGCCCCAACCCCAGGCCCCTCTCAACACAGCTGGGGGAGCCCCCGCAGGTGGACAGTGGGAGAGCCTTGCGGTCCCCCGGGGTCAGTGGGGATGGGGCCCTGCCTGGCCAGCAGAGGCTGGAGCTGCCCCTCCCATGCCCTCAGCTGGAGCTGGACCCCAAGTATGCCAACCAGACGTGCGGCCTGTGTGGGGACTTCAACGGGCTGCCTGCCATCAATGAGTTCTACGCCCACAGTGAGTGCTGCCCGGGGTCAGGGCGTGGCAGGCAGCCGAGGGCCAGACAGTCCCAGGGAGGCCAGGAGGGCCAAGGGGGGGTGGCGTCACCCAGGCCGTTGGCAGGGAGCAAATTGGAGTGGAGGCAACGCTCAACCCAGTGATGACCCAGAATGAAGTTTCAGGGGGTCCTGGGCATGGGCAGGGGGTCCCCTGGCAGCCATGTCCCACACTGCCCCCAGAGCCCCTCAGCGCCCCCACACCAAGCGCCGCGTCTCTGCAGACGCCAGGCTGACTCCTGTACAGTTCGGGAACCTGCAGAAGCTGGACGGGCCCATGGAGCAGTGCCAGGACCCCCTGCCCTCCCCAGCTGACAACTGCACCGACGAGGTGAGCGCCTCTCAGGGGCCCGGGCTCCCTGTGGCCCCTGTCCCCAGGTGTGGGGATAGCGGGGCGGGGACTCACCTCCTGGGGGTGGGACCTCGGGTGTCCAGGCGAGAGAGGGTCTCCTAGCCCCGGGCGGCAGAGACTTGGCCTCCACTCTCGAGGCACACCCTCTGCACCCACACGCCTCCGCGTGTGTGCCACTGCCACACATGCTCAGCATGTGGGCCATGTGCTTGCGGGAGTGTGTGTGTCTTGGGCTGCATGTGTGTGCAAATCTGTGCCCATAAACACAGTCCCACCAAGAGTGGGCACTCAGGGGGCCCAGGGCAGGAAAGCCCTTCCAAGGACCCGGGAGGACCCCACCTTTGGAAATGGCCTGGAAGCTCCAGGATCCCCCAGAACCAGCAGAATCCCCAGGCCTGAAATCAGGACGTGGGCCTGTGGCCCACTCCCAGCCGGCCGGGGGGTGGGGAGGGAGGATGTTCATCAACAGCCAGCACTGACTCTACGGGGGCTGCCTGAGGGTGGACGGGCACCTCCGCCTCCCCCTCCTCTGAGCCACCTCCAGGCGCAGAGTCTGCACCTTTCCTGGTTGTTGACACCATGGGCAGGGGTGTCCTGGAGCCCTGGATGGGTGGGGGGAGTCCAGTGTCATGGGTCACTCCCCAGAGCCAAGCAGAGTTCAGCACCCAGCAGTGGCAAGTTCACAGTGGTTGACTGGATGGATGGGTAGGTGGGTGGGTGGGTGGATGGATGGATGAAAGGATATCTGGATGGATGGATGGGTAGGTGGGTGGGTGGATGGATGGATGGATGGATGGATGGATGGATGGATGGATGGATAGATGGACGGATGGAGGAATAGGTGGATGGGTGAATGGGTAGGTAGATGGACAGATGGATGGATGAATGGAGGGATGGGTGGATGGATGGATAGGTGGATGGAGGGATGGGTGGATGGATGGATAGGTGGATGGAGGGATGGGTGGATGGATGGATAGGTGGATGGAGGGATGGGTGGCTGGAGGGATAGGTGGATGATGGATGGGTGGGTGGATGGAAGGAACCCCAAGAAGAAGAGGCTCCCTGGCTGGGGTGGGGAATGCAGGGTTGGTGTCCCTGCACGATCCTGCGTGGAGGGCAGAAGGTGCCTAGCCTTTGTGCTCCCCAGGAGGGTATCTGCCGCCGCACCCTGCTGGGCCCGGCCTTCGCCCAGTGCAATGGGCTGGTGGACGCCGATGTGTACGTGGCCGCCTGCACCCAGGACCTGTGCCGCTGCCCCACCTGCCCATGTGCCACCTTTGCCGAGTACTCCCGCCAGTGTGCCCATGCGGGGGGCCAGCCACAAAACTGGAGGGGCCCTGACTTTTGCCGTGAGTGTCCCCCACCAGGGCCTGGGCTGGGGCCCCAATGGGGGCCAGCCTGTGCCCTGTACCCACGCTGGGTCCCTGGGGAAGGGGTGAGGGACGAGACCCTTGGGTCTGGCTGGGGACACAGGGCAGGCAGAGCCACTCAGGGGGCCCACCAGCAAGAGGGTGGGCTGGGGAGCAAAGGGGGATATGCAAGGCCAGGGGTGTCTGGGGGCCCTGAGGAAGGACCCGGCCGGGGCACAGTGAGCTGAGCTCACCCTAGACCCTAGGTGGGCATGAGAGGGCTGTCCCAGGAGACACTGGGCCTCGTGCTCCCTTCGCCTCCCGCCTCACCCAGAAGACGGCTGGGGGCCAGGACAAGTGGGGCCACGGCTCCTGAGAAGAGGGGCTCCCTGGGCCCAGCTGTGGCTTTGGGGACCCCTCGTGGCACATGGAAGACAGGAGCAGAGGTGTCTGTCTGCCTGCCGGGTGCCTGGGTGGCCTCCTGAGGGCCCAGCGCTGCCTCTTCCCTGCAGCCCAGATGTGCCCCCTCAGCCTGCAGCACCAGGAGTGCGGCTCACCGTGTGCCGACACCTGCTCCAACCCTGAGCACTCGCAGCTCTGCGAGGACCACTGCGTGGACGGCTGCTTCTGCCCCCCAGGCAGGTCCTCCTGGCCCTTGAGGACTGTCCTCACCCGGGACCTTTGCCCCCACCCCATGGCTGCCTCCGGTCACTGTGTTTCCAACACCCGCCCCAGCCTCGGCTGACCCACTCCCGCCCCCCCAGGCACAGTGCTGGACGACGTCACCCACACGGGCTGCCTGCCCCTGGAGCGCTGCTCCTGTACCCACAGTGGCCGCATCTATGCCCCAGGGGCCTCCTTCACCACCAGCTGCAGCTCCTGGTAGGCCCCCAGCCGGCCCTGCCCCTGCCCCTGCTCCTGCCTAGGGCGGGGGTGCATGGGGTGGGGTCCGCCTCCGCCTCACTGTGCACCCTCTTCTCACGGCCTCTTTTCCCCCAGCACCTGCTCCAGGGGGCTGTGGCAGTGCCAGGACCTCCCATGCCCAGGCACCTGCTCCGTCCAGGGCGGCTCCCACATCTCCACCTACGATGAGAAACTCTACGATGTGCACGGAGACTGCAGCTACATCCTGTCCAAGGTGGGTCCCGCGGGGCTGCGGACATCAGGCCCCACCTGCTGGGCCCCTCGGCCTCCTCTGCTCCAGGGAAGGGCCCTATGATGGCCGTCAAAGTGGGTGAAGCCCCTGCGGCCCCCTCCCATCCTGAGAGAAAGGCCCCAGGCTCACACTCACGGGGGCTGAGGGGCCCCCGGCCCTGAGGAAGCTGCCTGGAGATGACCGCAGGTGCCAGAGGCCACCACGAGCCACTGGCCGCCTCCAACCTGCATGGGCGTTCCCGGGCACAGGGGCACCACACACACACACACATGCAGCCCCTCTCTGCCGTGTGGGGGCCGGCTGTCCCCCAACGAACTGGTGGGCTTTGCCTCGTCAGAAATGTGCAGACAGTAGCTTCACCGTGCTGGCTGAGCTGCGGAAATGCGGCCTGACGGACAACGAGAACTGCCTCAAGACGGTGACACTCAGGATGACCGGCAGTGGGGACACAGTAAGGGTCGGGGACACAGTGAGGGTCGGAGAAACGGTGAGGGTCGGGGCCGGAAGAAGGGCAGGGATGACAGGACAGAGATGGGGAGGACGGGCTCCAGCTCCCTCCCTAGATCCCACAGCCCCAGGGACCACCGCCCTCCCAGCCACACGGAGGTTGAGGGTCGGAGGGGGTTCGGAGGTTCGAGGTTGCAGACAGGGTGGCCAGCGCTCCCTCGTCTGTGAGCTGGCGGGCCCCTCCCCACACTGACTGCGGCCCTGCCTCCTCTCGCCAGGCCATCCAGATCCAGGCCAACGGCGGGGTGTTCATGAACTCCATCTACACACAGCTGCCTGTGTCAGCAGGTACGCGGCCCCTGGGGCAGCTGGGCCTGTGCAGCCAGGCAGGCGCCTCCAGAGTGACCGTCCACTCCCAGAGCCTGAGCAGAACCAGGCTGGGCCCTTGCTAGTTCTTTGTGGCCTCGGGCAGTTTCAGAACACCCCATGGTTGGTTTCTTATCTGCAAAGTGAGGATGTCAGTGGTCCTACCGAGGCTGCTTTGGGGACCCTGTGTTGAGCACACTTGGTGGCCGGCCTCTCAGGGAGCATCAGCAGTCACTCATGACCCGAGCACACATGTGAGCTCCTGCCTGGCTCCAGATCCCAGGGTGGTGGCTGGGGTCCACCAGATACCTGACTCACTCCAGCCCATCCTCTACGGGCCCATCCCCGCCTCCTGGGCCGTCCTGGAAGCACGGAGGCTCAGGCATCGGTGGTCAGCCTGGCCAGGCCTGGCCTCCGTGTAGCCTCTGACCACCCCCTGCATCCACAGCCAACATCACCATCTTCAGGCCCTCGTCCTTCTTCATCCTGGTCCAGACGGGCCTTGGGCTACAGCTGCAGGTGCAGCTGGTGCCTCTCATGCAGGTGTACCTCAGGCTGGACCCCTCCTACCGAGGCCAGATGTGTGGTAAGACTCGGCGGGAGGGCTCGGAGGGGCAGGGGCAGTGGGGATGACTCAGCTCCAGGCTGCAAGCAGCAGGGCGGGCAGAGTCTGGCAGGAGATGGGGATCAGGGAGGCAGCTGCTCCCAGAGACCCCTGCACCAGCCCAGGGCACCCGATGTCTGGCCCGTGGCAGGAGGGAGGTGGCCCTGGAGGACAGTGAGCAAGCCACGCAGCCCTCACTTGGGCGGGCTGTGCGCAGGGGCTGACGCCCACCAGGGCTTATCTGCAGATGGTTCTGGAACCAAAACCCTGGGTTGGGGCTCTTGGCCAGTCTGCCTTGTGGCGGCACCCGGAGGAACTGCAGGGCAGGGGGAGTACGGCCGAGCTGGACGGCCAGCTAACGTTCCCCCGTCCCCAGGCCTGTGCGGGAACTTCAACCAGAACCAGGCCGACGACTTCCGGATCCTCGGTGGCGTGGTGGAGGGCACAGCCGCCCCCTTTGCCAACACCTGGAAGACCCAGGCCGCCTGCCCCAACGTCAAGAACAGCTTCGAGGACCCCTGCTCCCTCAGCGTGGAGAACGGTAACCCACCCCTGGGAGCCCTAGGGTTACCCCGGGTCCGGGCCTGGGGGCTACCCATCTTCGCAGGAAGCCTCATCTCACCCGGGCTCCGGAACTGGAGGGTCTGGGGAGACCCCCATATCCAGGCGTGCATGCAGGCGGGAGGGCTGGGGGTGAGCAGGGAGGGGGCGCTGAGAGCCCGTCTCTGGGAGCAGCACCTTCCCGCCCCGTAAGCAGTGCCCACACGGCACGGTGGGTGAGCCCCAAATTCCAATTCAGTTTCCCAGGGCCGAGGGGCCCCCACAGGCCTGTGTGTTCGGAGCGGAGGCTGCTGGAGGTGTGCGGGTGCACGGGGAGTGAGGTGGGCACAGGGAGCCGGCGGCCGCTAAGCTGTGCCCAGTGACCATCAGCCCGCCCGCCTCCCCTCTTCCAGAAAACTACGCCCAGCACTGGTGCTCGCTGCTGACCCACCCTGCCGGCGCCTTCTCGCCCTGCCACACCATCGTCAACCCTGCACCCTTCCACTCGGTGAGACCCTGGTGGGCTGGTGCTGGAGCGGGACCTGCCCCGCCTGGAGCCGTCCCTCCCCAGCCACCCCTTCGGGGTCCCTCTCTCACGGACGGCCCCCGACACAGCGGGCCGGGCCAGTCAGTCCCACTCTCGGCCATACTCTGGGCTCTGGGCTCTGGGCACCAGCACTGTTGGTGTGTTTGTTGCCGTAACTAAGGACCACACACTGGGTGGCTAAAACCTGGAGACATTTATCCTCTCACATTCTGGAGGCCAGAAGTCCAAAGTCAAGGTGTCACAGGGCTGTGCTCTCTCTGGAGGCTCCAGGGGAGAGTCCTTCCTGCCTCTTCCAGCTTCCGGGGGCTCCTGCGTTCCTGGCTTGTGGCCACTGCACCCCAATCTCTGCCTCGGTCATCACATGGCCTTCTCTCTGTGTCTGTCTCTCCCTGTGTGACTGTGTCCAAGTCTCTTATAAGGACACCAGGCATGTTGGATCAGGGCCCACCCTAATGACCTCATCTTAATTGCGTCTGCAAAGATCCTATTTCCGATAATCTCACGTTCACAGGCCCCGGGGGTTAGGACTTCCATATACCTTTTTGGGGGACACAATTCAACCCACAAAGGCCAGGTCACAGGCCACTTTTCCAGAAGCGAAAGCCCTAAGTGCACATGACTCCAGCCTCAAGGAGTCTGTCTGCAGGTGGAGGACCCAGGCCACCTCTGCCCATTTGGGGGTGGCGCACCTCCACCCTGCCGTCCAGCCTACCCCACCTCCGGCCGTCTCTTGCCTTCAGTCTCTCCCCACCCCACTCCATTCACGCCCTCACATGCAGCACCACCAGTGACAGATCTAGAATTCAAGCTGGACCCTGCCCTGCCCTTCAAGACCCCTCCCCAGACCCCATCCTCAGCCCGGCTCCACGCCTTCCCGCTGGGCCCGGGCCCAGCCTCTCCCACCACAGAGTGTGCAGCTTGTCTCCCTGGTGGCCTCGCACAAAGCACAGGGGGCTGTCCCCCAGGAGGACCCACCGCCTTCAGTCTGCGCCATGAGCCCTCCTGGGGGGTGGAGCTCCCAGCCCAGCTGGCCGTCCCAGGAAGGACAGACTGGGAGGGGTGGGACCCTGGTGGGCTGGAGTCCCTGACGGCCCCCTGATGTCCCCGTCCCCAGAACTGCATGTTTGACACGTGCAACTGCGAGAAGAGCGAGGCCTGCATGTGCGCGGCTCTGTCCTCCTACGTGCGGGCCTGCGCTGCCAAGGGCGTGCTGCTCCGCGGCTGGAGGGACGACGTCTGCAGTGAGTGCCCCCGCGCCGTCCTGGCTTCACCCGGCAGGGGCGGGGGGCGCTGGGGACCCCGGGGGGCAGCGACCCCCACCCACATGTTCTCAGCGAGGGCTTGGCGCTTCCTCCTCCGGTCCAGCCAAGAACCTTGTGCCCTTACCATCCCGAGTTCCAGAGGGGGAAACCGAGTCCCAGGCCACTTCAAACCCAGTTTGGACATGGTAAAGCGACGCCAGACAGGGCCACTCAGCCACTGACCCCTGTGTCGCCCTCCACACCCCACCTCTAGCCAAGTACATGAGCAGCTGCCCCAAGTCCCAGACCTATGCCTACGTGGTGGACGGCTGCCAGCCCACCTGCCGCAGCCTGAGCCAGGCCGACGTCACCTGCGGCATCGCCTTCGTGCCAGTGGACGGCTGCACCTGTCCCTCGGGCACCTTCCTGGACGACGCCGGCGCCTGTGTGCCCGCCGAGGCCTGTCCCTGCTACTTCCGCGGCTCCGTGGTGGCTCCGGGAGAGGTCGTGCACGACGACGGCGTGGTGTGGTAAGGGGCCGGCCAGGCCAGCCCTGAGCCCTTCCGGGAAGAGGAGCCTCTCCCCTGGCCCGGGAGGGTGTCCTGAGGGCCGGGGACCACGGAAGGTGCGGCGCGTGCGCGGCGGGCGGCTCTCACTCTGGGGCCAGCCCGGGGTGCCCCCCATCGCCTCCCCGGTGGCTCCTTTACCAGCTGAGGCCACGTCCTCATCTTCGAGTCCAAGCTGCCTTCTTGCACACCTGTTGCCCGTTTACTCGAGCACCTCCGCGGGATTTGGGGCCTCGCTGCGACCCCGGCAGTGGGCACCGTCCTTTCCTCAGACGAATCCTGGCGGGCCCAGCCGGCAGAGATCCGGGTGGGGGTCTGTGGGCAGTGGGCAGCGGGCCCAGACCAGGTTGCCCATCTCTCATAGCTCCTGTGTGAGTGGGAAACTGAGCTGCCTGGGAGCCGAGGAGGAGACAAGCACAGGTACCTTCCTCCCTCCGAGCCCTGCCTGGGACCCCCGGAACCCCACCCGGGGTGGCAGGGGGGTGCTTCTGTTGGCCTCAGGGTGGGGGTCCTGCCCACACCAGCGGGCTCCTCCCAGTGTGCCATCCCTCCGCAGGGTGTGTGGCTCCCATGGTGTACCTGGACTGCAGAAACGCCTCAGCGGGCACACCCGGGGCCGAGTGCCTCAGGAGCTGCCACATGCTCGACGTGGACTGTGTGAGTTGGCCAGGGAGGGCACAGCCCCTGCGCTGCCTGGAGAGCATGCCCACCCCTAAGCCTGGGCACCCCTGGGTTGGGCAGCGTCCCCTCCCCTCGGTGTCCCCCGGGCCCCAGCAAGGGACGAGCCACTGACCATTTCCCACTCGTCCACAGTTCAGCACCCACTGTGTGTCTGGCTGCGTCTGCCCCCCGGGGCTGGTGTCGGACGGGAGTGGGGGCTGCGTGGCTGAGGAGGACTGCCCCTGTCTGCACAACGAGGCCACATACAAGCCCGGGGAGACCATCAGGGTGGACTGTAATACCTGGTGGGTCGAGGGGCTGCAGAGGGGAGGGCGTGGGCAGAGACCACAGGGACAGCGGGCCTGAGCTGGCCTCAGCGAGGGGGGTCCTTGGCAGGGAGCAGGAGAGGAGCTGAGGCCTGGTGCTGTCCCCACCCCTTAGAAGCCCTGGGCAGTCCCGTTTCTCCTCTGGGAGGTGCCCCAGGGGCCTGGCCTCCTCTGCCCAGCAGATGGCAGGGGCCAGTTAAAGCTGACACCAGGACCACCAGCCCTGCACCCCAGGCGCCAAGGGCTGGGGAAGCCTCAAGACAGAAGCGCCACCGGCAGGTGGTGGGTCCTGTGAGCCCCACACTCACTGCTTCATTTGACCCCTCTCGAGCGTGGGGGGGCACCCCATGTCCCCATTTTATGAGCAGGGGCTGGGTCCCCGTCCTTGTCATGGAGGGGACTGGCTTGGCCACAGCGGCCCAGGGGGTAGGCTCCTGCCCAATGAGCATCGTGTCCTCCCCTCGCCACGCAGCACCTGCAGGAGCCGCAGGTGGGAGTGCAGCCATCGGCCCTGCCTGGGCACCTGCGTGGCCTACGGGGACGGCCATTTCATCACCTTCGACGGCGAGCGCTACAGCTTCGAAGGGAGCTGCGAGTACACACTGGCCCAGGTACGCGGCCCCCTCGCCCCTCCCAAGGGCCGGGCTTGGTTGGCCGTGACCCATGTTACCCAAGTCTCACCTCTCCCCGTCCCAGGACCACTGCGGGGGCAACGGCACCACCAACGGGACCTTCCACATCATCAGTGAGAACGTCCCCTGCGGGACCACGGGCGTCACCTGCTCCAAGGCCATCAAGCTCTTCCTGGAGGTGCGAGTCCACCAGGAACCTTCTCCCTTCCTCTGCAGCCCACCCTGGCCCTCCAGCTGAATCCCTGGCCCTCCAGCTGAATCGTGTCTTGGGGCCGCCTAATAAATGGCCACACCCCGGGGACTTAAAACCAGAGAAATTCATTCCCTCACGGTTCCAAGGCCAGGTCTCTGACATCCAGGTGTCACGGGGCCGCGCTCCCTCGCAGGCTCCAGGGGAGGGTCCTGCCTGCCTCCCTCAGCTTCTGGGGCTGCAGACGTTCGTTCCCGGGCCTGGGGCTGCACTCCTCCTGTCTCTGCCTCATCTTCCCATGGCCTCCTCTCCGTGTGTCCTTTCTCCTTCTCTTCTCTTATGGGGACACCTGTCATTGGACTTAGGCCCACCCTAAATCCAGGATGACCTCATCTCGAGATCCTTCACTTAATCACATCTGCAAAGACCCTTTATCCACGTAAGAGCACATTCACAGGGGCCGGAGTTTAGGATGTGGACATGTCTTTTGGGGGCCTCCCTTCAGCCCACCACACCTAGAGATGCCCACTTCCGGCAGAAGAAGATCAGAGTTCCCAGGGCAGAGAGCAGAGCGGCTGGCTGGGGGGCGTTTCCCCCGAAAGAGTGGAGGAGCAGGAGGAAGGCAGCAGCGCTCAGGGATCAGCGGAGGCGGGAGGGTGGGGGGCAGCCGGAGTTGGGGGCGGCAGGGGGTGAAGTGCTGGGCAGGGGAGCAAGGCCTTGGCCACAAAGAGCCTGAGGCAGCCACGCGGGCTCCTGCAGCCTCGCGCTGTGCCCTCTGCCTTCCTCTGCTCGCCTGTGGCCCCCAACTTTCCACGCAGCCTCCGGGCTCCCAGCACACCCTGCCCAGCCTCTCGTCCTGCATTCGCGGACTGTATCAGGAGCCCTGCTCATCCGTAACACCAGCCCCATGCTGGTGCTCTGGGGCCCCTGAGCACCCGTGGAGCCCCTGCCCTGGGCCATGGGGTGGGCTCTGGCCCCAGAGCTGGCCCCTGCAGCAGCTGCTTCCCCTGTGCCCTCGCAGAACTATGAGCTGATCCTCCATGAGGGCACCTACAAGGTGGTGCAAAGGGGGTCGGGCGGAGACCCGCCCTACAAGATCCGGTACATGGGCATCTACCTGACCGTCGAGACCCGCAGTGGCATGGTCGTGTCCTGGGACCGGAAGACCAGTGTGTTCATCCGGCTGCGCCAGGATTACAAGGTGTGGGCAGGCGGGCTATGGGATCCTCTCGGGCCTGGACAGAGCCCCCACTCCTAGACCTGGCCCTGCGGGGACCGTCTGGAAGCTGAGGGTCTGCTGAGGGTCAGCTGAGGGCTGGGGCCAGCACATGCACAATGTCAGGTTCTGAAAAGGGGCATGTTCAGACCAAACCAACAAATGGGTGCGTCAGAGTCCTGGTTGGAAAGCCGCTCTTTGCTCTGTGGTCTCCCCACTCAGCAATACCACACCTGCTGGGCTGAGGTTCTGTGGGGGAGCAGGTGCCCACCCTCCTGCCCCCTGCTCACCGAAGGACCCTCCGTGTACCCCATCCTCCTGCAAGTTCACAGGGACTGCCCAGGGGAACCGGGTGCCCTGAAGTCACCCCTCCTGGGCCAGACTCTGTGCTGCTCCCTCGGGCTGCCCCCTGCAGCCCCAGCCCCCATGACCCAACTGTCCCTGCATCTGCAGGGGAGGGTCTGCGGGCTGTGCGGGAACTTCGACGACAACGCCGTCAACGACTTCACCACACGGAGCCAGTCCGTAGTGGGCAACGCACTGGAGTTTGGCAACAGCTGGAAGTTCTCCCCGTCCTGCCCGGATGCCTCGGCCCCCAAGGACCCCTGCACTGCCAACCCATACCGCAAGTCCTGGGCCCAGAAGCAGTGCAGCATCATCAACAGTGCCACCTTCGCCGCCTGCCGTTCTCAGGTGGGCTGAGAGGCGGGGCCCTGGGCTTAGCGGGCAGGGGCTGGGGGCTGACAGGTGTTGGGCTGCCTTCTTCCCTCCGGCGGGAGCTGGGTCTGGCCTGGGCTGGGCCTCTGAGGATGGTGGGTCATGGCCTTGACCATCGCTCAGAGCACACCTCTGGACCTCCCACCAGGCAGGCGCCCGCGTCCCCAGTCCTGGCACAGAGTCCCCTCTGCTTTCCTTGACCACACTCAGCCTCATTCCCTAGAAACAGGGCTCCGAGCCCCACAGGCCCTCAGAGTCACCTCCCATCCCCCCCACACTCTCCGACCTGACGGGAACCTTAGCGGAGCCTCCAGCCCAGCCTCACGTGTGCAGAGGATGTGACGGGCCTCAGACTCTCTTCCCAAAAGTCCTTCTTGAACGAGGACATGGTCTCGTGATCCGGGACCTGCACGCTGACGGGAGGGCGGCCTGGTAGGAGCGGCCTGCAGCTGACCAAGGTGTGGCTGTGCCAGGCCCCGACCCCTCTCATCCACGGCCCCTCTGGGTGCCCTGTCCGAGGGCTCGGAAAGTCCTATGTGAGCCTGACAAGCCATCCTTGCCCCAGGTGGTGCCATCAGCAGTGGCAAATTCGAGACTTGGGTGCCCTCTGGGCTCTGCCATCTGGGAGGGAGGAATGTGGTTGGGGGGCTGCCCCCACCCTGAGGAGACAGGCAGCCCCCCCATTTGTCAGGACAGGGTCACCAAGCAGTTGCGGGAGGGCTGGTCCGCAGAGGCAAGGGCCAGGGACAGGGGTGAGGTCAGAGGCCACCAGGGGCAGGAGTGAAGGTGTCCCGGTGGGCATGGGACTCTGGCCCCAGCAGTCACCGATCTCAGATCACAGATGTGGGGGTTGAGGTCCAGACGGCTGTCCCATGACCTGAGGGGCGCACTGTCTCTCCTGGCTGAGCGGTCCCTCGCCCTCTGCCCTCAGGTCGACTCCACCAAGTACTATGAGGCCTGCGTGAGCGACGCGTGCGCCTGCAACTCGGGAGGCGACTGCGAGTGCTTCTGCACCGTGGTGGCCGCCTATGCCCAGGCCTGTCGCGACGTGGGCGTGTGCGTGACCTGGCGGACTCCCGACATCTGCCGTGAGTCGGGCTCTGTCCGTGGTGCTGAACGGCAGGCGAGGGGTGGCCGGAGGAGGCGAGGCAGCACGGGCCCCAGTGCCTGACCGCACACGTGTGCACACATGCATACCCAACACGCATGCACTTCAGGTGTGTGCACACGTCCATGTGCATAAAAACCAGACAGACAGGTTGCCCCAAACGAGATGGCTCAGTGAGGGACAGCAGTTCCGGGCGCAGGGCTGAGAAAGGAAAGGAGCAAAGGGCGGGCCCAGACCCCTGCACGCTGCCCACGGTAGGGACAAGGCCTGCAGGCACCCTTAGCCTCTCTCCTCCCCGCCCAGCCCTGTTCTGCGACTACTACAACCCACGCGGGGAGTGCGAGTGGCACTACGAGCCGTGCGGGGCCCCCTGCCTGAGGACCTGCCGGAACCCGAGTGGGCATTGCCTGCTGGACCTGCCTGGCCTGGAAGGTGAGGCCAGGCCATCCCGGGGGAGCCACCGGGCAGCACAACCACCTGGCCCGAGGGAGTGAGTCCGCTCCTGCCTGTGCCCACCCCAGGCTGCTACCCGAGGTGCCCACCCAGCAAGCCCTTCTTCAGCGAGGACCAGATGGAGTGCGTGGCCCAGTGCGGCTGCTACGATGAGGATGGCAACTACCACGAGGTCGGCTCCAGGGTCCCCACGGCAGAGAATTGCCAGAGCTGGTGAGCACGGGCCGGCTGGGGTACGGGAGCCAGCCGGGGAATGGGGGCAGGGCTGAGGTCAGGCCAGGCCGGGGCAGGAACACCGGCCCTGGCCCTGCTGACCCTCAGCTTGTCTCTCCTCCTCCCAGTGACTGCACCCCTGGCGGCCTCCAGTGCACGTACAGCCTCACGGGTAAGGAGGGGCCTGGTTGGGCTGGGGGCTGGGGGCTGGGGGCTGGGGGCTCGAGTGAGCCCTGTCCCTGCGCCTCTCCCAGCCTGCACTTGCACCTATGAGGGCAAGACCTACGGCTACGGGGACGTCATCTACAACACAACCGATGGACTGGGCGCCTGCCTGACTGCCATCTGCGGAAACAATGGAACGATCATCCGGAGAGTCGTGGAATGTCCTGGAACCGTGTCCACGACACCCTTCACCTTCACTACCACTGCGGCCCCGCTGTCCACGACAGGTGAGCCTGGCGGTCGTGCCACTTGTCCTGCCTTGCTCTCTCGAGCCCCTGGCCCCGGGTGATGGTCTGGATGACGAGGGAAGACCCTGCAGGTGCTCGGTGCAGGCATCCTGGGCACAAGGGACTGCCAGGGTTCCGCAGAGGCCTGGGGGCCAGCCCTGTGGGTTGTGTCACCCCTCCTCCCAGGCACGGCTGGCGAGTGGGCAGAGGAGGCTGACTGGGTCCCCTGCCCTGTCCCCCCACAGGCCCAGCTCCCACCATCTCCACTGTGTGTGTGCACAAGCAATGCCACTGGTCTGACTGGTACGACAGCGGCCGTCCAGAGCCCGGCATGGGAGGGGGAGACTTCGAGACGTTTGTGAACCTGAGGCAGAGGGGCCACCAGGTCTGCCCAGCCCCTGAGGGTGTCGAGTGCCGGGCGCAGCAGCTCCCCGACAAACCCCTGCAGGAGCTGGGCCAGAAGGTGGAGTGTGACATGGCTCGGGGGCTCACGTGCCTCAATAGCGAGCAGAGCCCCCCGCTCTGCCACAACTATGAGTTGCGGGTCCTCTGCTGTGACTACATGCCCTGTGGCACCTCCCCGGCCCTGGGCACCAGCCCCAGTCCCTCCCCCGGCAGCACCACCTGGGTGTCAACCCTCAAGTCCCTGCCCACCCCCACCCAGACCACGTCAACGAGAGAAAGCCCCCTCGGGTCGACGGCAGCCTCCACCTCGCAGACCCCACCTGCCATGCCTGCCACAACTGAGACCCAGGAGGTCGGCAGCTCCTCAACCCCGGCTGCCACCACCTGTCAGCCCAAATGTCAGTGGACAGGGTGGTTCGATGAGGATTACCCCAAGTCTGAGAAGGCCGGGGGGGACATCGAGTCCTACGACAGGATCAGGAGTGCGGGAGGGGCCGTGTGTGAGCGGCCTCAGGAGATAGAGTGCAGGGCCGTGCTCCTCCCCAGCATGCGCCTGGAGGACCTGGGCCAGCGAGTGCACTGCGACCCTAGGTTCGGCCTGGTCTGCAGGAACGAAGAGCAGGAGGGCGTGTTCAAGATGTGCTTCAACTACAAGATCCGCATGCTGTGCTGCAGCGACAGCCACTGTGGGGAAGCTGCCTCCACCTCCACTGCCACCACCGCTGCCACTGCCACCTCCACTGCCACCACCGCTGCCACTGCCACCTCCACTGCCACC